CGTCCATCCATCTGTCCGTCCGTCCATCCGTCCATCCATCCGTCCGTCCATCCATCCGTCCGTCCATCCGTCCATCCATCCGTCCGTCCATCCATCCGTCCATCCATCCGTCCATCCATCCATCCGCCCATCCATCCGTCCGTCCGCCCATCCGTCCGTCCATCCATCCGTCCGTCCATCCATCCGTCCGTCCATTCATCCATCTGTCCGTCCTTCCATCCATCCATCTATTCGTCCGTCCATCCGTCCTTCCATCCGTCCGTCCATCCGTCCGTCCGTCCATCCGTCCATCCATCCGTCCGTCCGTCCATCCGTCCATCCATCCGTCCGTCCATCCATCTGTCCGTCCGTCCATCCGTCCATCCATCCGTCCATCCGTCCCATCCATCCGTCCGCCCGTCCATCCGTCCATCCATCCGTCCGACCATCCATCCGTCCGTCCGCCCATCCGTCCGTCCGTCCGTCCATCCGTCCGTCCGCCCATCCGTCCGTCCGTCCGTCCGTCCGTCCGTCCATCCGTCCATCCATCCGTCCGTCCATCCATCCGTCCGCCCATCCGTCCGTCCGTCCGTCCGTCCATCCGTCCGTCCGTCCGTCCATCCGTCCGTCCGTCCATCCGTCCGTCCGTCCATCCGTCCGTCCATCCGTCCATCCGTCCGTCCGTCCTTCCATCCGTCCATCCGTCCGTCCATCCGTCCATCCATCCGTCCGTCCGCCCATCCGTCCGTCCGTCCGTCCATCCGTCCGTCCATCCGTCCATCCATCTGTCCGTCCGTCCGTCCATCCGACCGTCCATCCGTCCATCCATCTGTCCGTCCGTCCGTCCGTCCATCCGTCCATCCGTCCGTCCGTCCGTCCATCCGTCCGTCCATCCGTCCGTCCGTCCATCCATCCGTCCGTCCGCCCGTCCATCCGTCCGTCCATCCATCCGTCCGTCCGTCCGTCCATCCATCCGTCCATCCATCCGTCCGTCCGCCCGTCCGTCCATCCATCCGTCCGTCCGCCCATCCGTCCGTCCGTCCATCCATCCGTCCGTCCATCCATCCGTCCGTCCGTCCATCCGTCCGTCCGTCCGTCCGTCCATCCGTCCGTCCATCCATCCGTCCATCCATCCGTCCATCCGTCCGTCCGTCCATCCGTCCGTCCATCCATCCGTCCGTCCGTCCGTCCATCCGTCCGTCCGTCCGTCCATCCGTCCATCCATCTGTCCGTCCGTCCATCCGTCCGTCAATCCGTCCGTCCGTTCGTCCATCCATCTATCCGTCTGTTCATCCATCCATACGTCCTTCCATCCATCCATCCATCTATCCGTCCGTCCGTTTGTCCGTCCTTCCATAAATTCATCCATCCATCCGTGAATGCATGCATGCATGCATGCATACATACATACATACATACATACATACATACATACATACATACATACATACATACATACATACATACATCCATCCATCCATCCATCCATCCATCCATCCATCCATCCATCCGCAAACATTAGGCAGTGTAACTACAGAGCTGCTATTTGCATGGCCTATATGTTTGGCTATTCTATCATTGTCCCATTCATTTATCAATCTGATACCTTGATTGCCACATGGACGGATGATATAGTTATACAATTTATAAAAGCACATTTCCTTAAGTGATAAAAGCTCTGCCGTGTTTTTTTTTTGTTTTTGTTTTTTTTTTAGAAAAGTAAGGATTCACCCCCAAGTGTGGGAGAGTAGTGATTGTGTTCAGACAAGAACACTTGTGTTTTAGTGCTGGTACATGATACTCTGCTTATCACAACTTGTGTATGTACACCTACTTTCTGGTGTAACTTTTTAAAATATTTTTTTTCGCATTTCTACCAAATTACCCTATAATCATCATCATCTGTATCACTGTCTGCATCACCATTATCATCCTCCTCTATCCCTTGCTTCATCCCTATCATCATGACCATCATTTTAGTCTGCATATGCATCACAATCATTTCAGCACCATTAATGCAATTATCCCTACCATCATCCCTATCATCACCATTTATCCTATCACCACCATTAACCCTGTCATCACCACTGACCCTATCACCACCACCATTAACCCTGTCATAATCCCCATCACCACCATTAACCCTGTCATAATCCCCATCACCACCATTAACCCTGTCATAATCCCCATCACCACCATTAACCCTGTCATAATCCCCATCACCACCATTAACCCTGTCATAATCCCCATCACCACCATTAACCCTGTCATAATCCCCATCACCACCATTAACCCTGTCATAATCCCCATCACCACCATTAACCCTGTCATAATCCCCATCACCACCATTAACCCTGTCATAATCCCCATCACCACCATTAACCCTGTCATAATCCCCATCACCACCATTAACCCTGTCATAATCCCCATCACCACCATTAACCCTGTCATAATCCCCATCACCACCATTAACCCTGTCATAATCCCCATCACCACCATTAACCCTGTCATAATCCCCATCACCACCATTAACCCTGTCATAATCCCCATCACCACCATTAACCCTGTCATAATCCCCATCACCACCATTAACCCTGTCATAATCCCCATCACCACCATTAACCCTGTCATAATCCCCATCACCACCATTAACCCTGTCATAATCCCCATCACCACCATTAACCCTGTCATAATCCCCATCACCACCATTAACCCTGTCATAATCCCCATCACCACCATTAACCCTGTCATAATCCCCATCACCACCATTAACCCTGTCATAATCCCCATCACCACCATTAACCCTGTCATAATCCCCATCACCACCATTAACCCTGTCATAATCCCCATCACCACCATTAACCCTGTCATAATCCCCATCACCACCATTAACCCTGTCATAATCCCCATCACCACCATTAACCCTGTCATAATCCCCATCACCACCATTAACCCTGTCATAATCCCCATCACCACCATTAACCCTGTCATAATCCCCATCACCACCATTAACCCTGTCATAATCCCCATCACCACCATTAACCCTGTCATAATCCCCATCACCACCATTAACCCTGTCATAATCCCCATCACCACCATTAACCCTGTCATAATCCCCATCACCACCATTAACCCTGTCATAATCCCCATCACCACCATTAACCCTGTCATAATCCCCATCACCACCATTAACCCTGTCATAATCCCCATCACCACCATTAACCCTGTCATAATCCCCATCACCACCATTAACCCTGTCATAATCCCCATCACCACCATTAACCCTGTCATAATCCCCATCACCACCATTAACCCTGTCATAATCCCCATCACCACCATTAACCCTGTCATAATCCCCATCACCACCATTAACCCTGTCATAATCCCCATCACCACCATTAACCCTGTCATAATCCCCATCACCACCATTAACCCTGTCATAATCCCCATCACCACCATTAACCCTGTCATAATCCCCATCACCACCATTAACCCTGTCATAATCCCCATCACCACCATTAACCCTGTCATAATCCCCATCACCACCATTAACCCTGTCATAATCCCCATCACCACCATTAACCCTGTCATAATCCCCATCACCACCATTAACCCTGTCATAATCCCCATCACCACCATTAACCCTGTCATAATCCCCATCACCACCATTAACCCTGTCATAATCCCCATCACCACCATTAACCCTGTCATAATCCCCATCACCACCATTAACCCTGTCATAATCCCCATCACCACCATTAACCCTGTCATAATCCCCATCACCACCATTAACCCTGTCATAATCCCCATCACCACCATTAACCCTGTCATAATCCCCATCACCACCATTAACCCTGTCATAATCCCCATCACCACCATTAACCCTGTCATAATCCCCATCACCACCATTAACCCTGTCATAATCCCCATCACCACCATTAACCCTGTCATAATCCCCATCACCACCATTAACCCTGTCATAATCCCCATCACCACCATTAACCCTGTCATAATCCCCATCACCACCATTAACCCTGTCATAATCCCCATCACCACCATTAACCCTGTCATAATCCCCATCACCACCATTAACCCTGTCATAATCCCCATCACCACCATTAACCCTGTCATAATCCCCATCACCACCATTAACCCTGTCATAATCCCCATCACCACCATTAACCCTGTCATAATCCCCATCACCACCATTAACCCTGTCATAATCCCCATCACCACCATTAACCCTGTCATAATCCCCATCACCACCATTAACCCTGTCATAATCCCCATCACCACCATTAACCCTGTCATAATCCCCATCACCACCATTAACCCTGTCATAATCCCCATCACCACCATTAACCCTGTCATAATCCCCATCACCACCATTAACCCTGTCATAATCCCCATCACCACCATTAACCCTGTCATAATCCCCATCACCACCATTAACCCTGTCATAATCCCCATCACCACCATTAACCCTGTCATAATCCCCATCACCACCATTAACCCTGTCATAATCCCCATCACCACCATTAACCCTGTCATAATCCCCATCACCACCATTAACCCTGTCATAATCCCCATCACCACCATTAACCCTGTCATAATCCCCATCACCACCATTAACCCTGTCATAATCCCCATCACCACCATTAACCCTGTCATAATCCCCATCACCACCATTAACCCTGTCATAATCCCCATCACCACCATTAACCCTGTCATAATCCCCATCACCACCATTAACCCTGTCATAATCCCCATCACCACCATTAACCCTGTCATAATCCCCATCACCACCATTAACCCTGTCATAATCCCCATCACCACCATTAACCCTGTCATAATCCCCATCACCACCATTAACCCTGTCATAATCCCCATCACCACCATTAACCCTGTCATAATCCCCATCACCACCATTAACCCTGTCATAATCCCCATCACCACCATTAACCCTGTCATAATCCCCATCACCACCATTAACCCTGTCATCACCACTGACCCTATCCATTCAGTATTGAAAAAGAACTAAGAAATTATCAACAAAATCTTTTTGACACAATTTGTGTAGTTCAAAATTCCATCATATAAACCTGATGCCTAAGATACAAACCAAAAAAGATATATTTCAGTTAAAACAAAGAAGTTGATGGCTATATTTGGCTCATATCTTAACCTACTATCAGAACTAAACTGTCAATAAAATTCACATGTTAACTGGCACTATGCCAACCACTTCTAGTTCACACATCAAATACAAAAGAAAATGACAACTGTCACACTGGCACTGGCCGACCAGGTCTCCTCATGATCGCCTTCTGCATAAAACACACAACTTGCATTAACAAAAAAAAAAGAATGAAAAAGGAATACCTAAACCAGTTCCTCTACCTCTTCCACATGGGATCAACACAAAGTTTGTACAGCTGGCTATTTAGGATTGCATTCCCTCTCTGTAACATTAAACTTAGCCTCTTCTTACTTCTGAAAAAAGAAAAATCATCAGTGTTTAAAAGGGAAATACAAAATGAACATCCAAGGTTGTATTATCCTCTGACTATCAACCCTTAATTAGTGCTAAGAAATGGCTTTTTTTTAAGTACTTTGATTCATAATAATTAAAATGAAAAAGTAAAAAAAGAATTCTTAGTGAAAACTATTGGACAAATTGCTTGAATCCACCCACACGCAAAAGATGACATCTTTAAAACCTGAAGTCAAATATAAAACTTGTGGCCACTTGGCACTCTGCTAATATTAGCTGAGATACATTTTACTGTTATGTCTGCACTGCATTCTCTCCCTCCAAAGGGGCAAGAGACAGCAGTTCTGTCGTCTATTGGCCATCCTGTTATCATCATGTGTTAACCAGGGTGGCTGCAAGTTTTAAAGAAAAGCCAGTGCCATCATTCTGCTCTCTGAATAAAGTATGGTTCAGTGATATTGCATGTGAGTTAAATCTTGACTCTCAGTTCCACAAACAGCTTACTTGATACTTGTAGGCTCTTCAAACAAAATCTAGTGCAATTCTGGGATATCTCATCCTGACAAAACTACTTAACAAACAGTTCAAAAAGCATTCCCAGAGCAAATGTTAGAAGTTCACAATTATGGAAGAGGTATGGCAAATCAAGTCTAAAAGCCAAGATAAAAGAACAGTACTTATGACACCCACCAACCTGACACTGTTGGTCGAGCACATGACACGCATGTGATGTATAAAAAAGCTGATGACTGGAATGAAGCTGTATACAAATAAAAAGGATTGCACATGGTCACTGTACACAGCAACATTTAAAGGTATTATTACACATCTTGACAATAAAAAAAATTGACTGATACTTCAAACCTGCATAACATTCCATTACAATAAGCACTGATATCATTTCATTAAAAATAAATACATATACTGTATATATTAAGTAAATAAAAAATCACTTCTGCAAAGTCTTAATTCTGCAAGATCAAACCGACAGTTAAGGTTTTACTTTGGTAATCTTTCATCTAATAGAAATATGTCTTCGTTAAGAAGCATGTGTAATTACAGTGATGTTCAGTCTTGTTTTTAGTGTCATACGTTTCATATATATCCAAAGATGAATGCATGCAAAATTACAGTCAGTAGTATTACTTAAGATTACCTGAAAACTGGTTCTCATGACCATTATATCAAAATTCAAGCCATAACAGACAAGTACATTGGATATTCCATTTTTTCTATTGACCAATTCAAGTATACTGAAACATCTGTTCATTAAAAAGCCATGTAAGAGTAATACAACATGGAGGGGAGGGGAATTTTTGCATATATGAAGTTAGTTAAAAGCAGAAACACCAAATCCAACCACGGGTCTTTCAAAGTCATAACAGTGATCTATTGTCTTTACGCTGTTAAGCTATATATTTACATTTATATCCCTTGACAAAGAAAAACTGAAGGTTTACAGGTAACAAACCACTTTGAGTGTTGATGGATAAAGCTTACAGTGCTGCATATGAAACCTGTTACAATAGTCTGTGCTTTAATGTTCTTAAGGAGGTGGGGGCCCTCTATCACAAGTGCATTCCTAGTAGCAGAATTACTAGTTACACAGATCAGAAAAAAAGGATATACCTTCTACTCCTGCAGAGTTCTATGACTAGAGCAGCTATGTCAACAATAAATCTATCGGTGAAAACAGTACACATATGATGGTCATTGCTGATTTACTCTTGTTTGGAAATCATTTCTAATTTTTCTTTTTTCTTTTCTTCCCTCTTTCGAAAATGAAGTATTTTTTTCTTTCTTTCTTTTGCATGAAATCCATTCTTGTCTGTTGTTGTTTTTTTCTCTCTCTCTTTATTTTTCTTTAATAATAGGAACTGACTATGTGATTTTAGCCTTATCTGCTTACTTATAGTAATGTTGACCTATCACGTGTGATTTTTTAATTAACTTTGAGATTAGAAGTTTAATAAACATGTCTTCACATCATGTACAGTTGTTGCAATAAAATGCTACAAAGCCAAAAAATAGAAAAAAAAATGTTGAGTGGTTATTTGCTACTGCATTTGTGACTTGGAATGAGATATTGTAGTTTCCAAAAAATAAAAGTAAAAGAATGTAACACAGACAACATCAATACAGACAAACAAATACATGAGCATAAATCACATTACAAAAAAATTGCAAAAAAAAAGGGTAGCTAATTTACATTCTCTGAAGTCTGTGAAACCAACATTGCAACAAAGAGTTAGTTAATCACAGTTAATATGTTTAATATATTCCTGAAGTTGCACTTGAGACTAAATTGATATACAGTATTAATCACCACAGAGCATTGCAATATTATGTATATAAAAAAATGAGTCATGCACATACGTCTATCATTACTCATCATTCACATGTAATGACTGGCTTTAGATGAAAGAGTATTAAATACCTTAAAGAGCTTACCATCCAAAACTTATTTTGGAAATTATAAAACAAATCAATGGCTCATTATCAAGGTTAGCAACATCCAGACTTTAAACCATAAACATTTAAACAATATGAGCAATGAGTCACATAAAGTGGGTGTAAAGTGGGCATCTCTATAAACATATATATATATATATATATATATATATATATATATATATATATATATACATATATATATATATATATATATATATATATATATATATATATATATATATATATATATATATATATATATATATATATATATAACTAGAAAGATAAGTTGCAAAATCCTATTCTTTCTAGATATTCATTTCATAATGATGAAAACATATAATATCATATATACATAATGATCTTCAAATATATAAAATTAACAAAAAAATAATAATCAGAATGAAGATAATAATAAAGAAATAGCATTTCATTTGATGAAAATTGATGCATGACTGAATCTACCCTACTTTCATTTTCAATTAATATTTGACAGAGGACATAAAATGTAAAGCAAAAACAATAATAATAATAGAAATGATGATGGCAATTACCATCAAAACCATCATCTTAATAATAACAAAATGTAAGTGATCATACTATTCTTTTCTCTCATCTATGGCTCTGTTGAAGTATGCATATTTCCATATACAAAAGCCTCCTTTACAATGTTTCCTGTGTGAACTGTATCAGCTAAATACATGTAAATTTTCTTTTATTATAAGGACCATATTACATTTAGAAACAATATCTCCCTTAAATGCTAGACAACCATTCTCCACTGTGGTATTTCCTTTCCACAACAGCTGGTGTTTCAAAGCCACTGAAAAAAACACCAGTTCAAATACCCTAATTACTTACTAGAGTAAAAGTAGAGCAACAATACTACACCCAATTGCCAGGACTGCACAAAATAAACCAAAATATAATTCCATATATTTAGGAAACTTTACTCCAAACACTGACACAGTTGCAAGTGTCACTCTTAAATACAGATAGTCCAAACATACCACATTCACAAACTACAAACCCAGTTTTGCACTACTGTGAATGTTGGACAGCACTGCCAAGAGGAGGGGAAAGAAATGGGAGTACCCTTGATGCTCTGCAACAACAATACTGATTGAATATTCAAGCAAGTCTGATGCTTCGTTACTTTACTTGAACCTGTAACCTGTTTGCTTTTGAGGATGAATATCACAACTTAAGAAATTCAACAAAGTGTTAAATCAGGTTCGAATAGAAGAGCATTAAAGAGATGCTGCAAAACGGACTACCTCCTCTACTACACAATGTTGGCAGTGTCACCTGTATGCCTGATGCTTGAAAATGGGTGCTGAGTATGTCATCTTTGGATGTGGGTTATGGTTACCTCTGTACAAATTTAGAAGCCTCACTTCTGGTATGTCATCTTCATTATTGCAAACAGAAGCCAGAGAATGAATTATAAAACAACGGACAACATTATCACTACTATAGTAAAATAAAGTACTTTCTATGAAAGAGCAAATAATATTTTCATGGTCATTCAACCACAACTATAAATGTCTCTAAATAATATTTATATATAGAAGAAGTAATGATAAATATCTCATTAACACTGTAAGTAATAACAAGGGGATATGCGACAATCACAGATCAACAAAGAAACCCATTCATCCTAGCAGTTAGTACTTAAAATGGTTATACTTAACTTGATTAGGAGTACTGCAAGAAATGAACAGGATTAAATGAGTTAGACCCACATTCAACTACACTTTGTTCTCTGTGCCCATTTAACAGTATAATAAGGTTAGCAATGAGAAGATTAAGAAGGTAGATTTTCAGTAACTCTCTATTCAACTTTCAGTTCCCTAATTTTCAAACCTGCACTTAGGTAGGTAGGGGCATGTATGCCTGCAAGTGCATGTGTGCATCTGTGAGTGTCTCGGGGTGTGTGAATGCATGTCCTAGTGCTGTGTGAATGTGTGCATCTGTGAGGTGAGTGTCTGTGTGTGTGAGTGCATGTCCTTGTGCCTTTGTGTGCATGTGCGAGTGTGAGTGTGTGTGAATGCACTTTTGTGTGTGTATATGTGTAAGTGTAAGTGTAAGTGTAAGTGTAAGTGTAAGTGTAAGTGTATGTGTATGTGTATGTGTATGTGTATGTGTATGTGTATGTGTATGTGTATGTGTATGTGTAAGTGTAAGTGTAAGTGTAAGTGTAAGTGTAAGTGCATGTGTATGTGTATGTGTATGTGTATGCATATGTGTATGTGTATGTGTATATGTATGTATTTACATATGTATACATTCATATACATATATATATACATATATACATATATATATACATATATATATATACATATACATATATATATACATATACATATACATAATATATATATATATATATATATATATATATATATATATATATATATATATATATATATACATATATATATGAATGAATGAATGAATGAATGAATGAATGAATGAATGAATGAATGAATGAATGAATGAATGAATGAATGAATGAATGAATGAATGAACATACGAAGGAACAAACAAATGAACGAACAAGAGAGAGAGAGAGAGAGAGAGAGAGAGAGAGAGAGAGAGAGAGAGAGAGAGAGAGAGAGAGAGAGAGAGAGAGAGAGAGAGAGAGAGAGAGAGAGAGAGAATGTGTGTGTGTGTGTGTGTGTGTGTGTGTGTGTGTGTGTGTGTGTGTGTGTGTGTGTGTGTGTGTGTGTGTGTGTGTGTGTGTGTGTGTGTGTGTGCTTGTGCTTGTGCTTGTGCTTGTGCTTGTGCATTCAGTGTAAGCAATTTTTGGGTGTAGATATGGGTGTTGGTGTAGGTGTGGAAGTGGAGGTTCTCTAAATGTAAATGTAGATGTTTATTGTAGATGTAGATATACAGATATATATATAGATATAGATGTAGATGTCAATGCAGATGTAGAGTGGGCGTGAGTGTGCATGCACATGTGCATGTGCATGGGTAGGGGGTAGGGGTGGGGGTGGTAGTGTAGGACTAGGTATAGCTGAAAGTGTGGGTGTAGGTATGTGTATGTGGGTGTAGGCATGGGTGTAGGCATGGGTGTGGGTATGGGTGTGGATGTGGGTACGGGTGCGGGTATGGGTGTGGGTATGGGTGTGGGTATGGGTGTGGGTATGGGTGTGGGTATGGGTGTGGGTATGAGTGTGGGTGTGGGTGTGGGTGTGGGTGTGGGTGTGGGTGTGGGTGTGGGTGTGGGTGTGGGTGTGGGTGTGGGTGTGGGTGTGGGTGTGGGTGTGGGTGTGGATATGGCATGGGCATGGGCATGAGGATGTGTATGTAGGTGTGGGCATGAGTGTGACTGTGGGTTTGGGAGTAGGGGTGAGTGTAGGTACAGGTGTGGCTGTGAGTGTCCATGTTGTCTGCATAACACGAGCATGTTTTTTTTTTATATGGATGTGTGCATTTGTTTTTGCATCATCTGTTTGTTCTTCTAAAAGGCATTCCTCCACAGCTTGTGTAAATGTAGAAAAAGTTACAAAAGCTTAAATTAATTATATTCCCGATTTTCAAACAGTTAATAGAGTACAAAGTATAGACAAAGTACAAAAAAATATAAAATGATAGTTTCCAATGTTCACTATGAACAAACTATGACATAAAGGACAAATTCTTTTCCCTTATATATACATACTGCACACGGATAACAGTAGAGCCAAGGGTACTATAAACAGTAGTGCTCTGAGCCCAAGTATCAACCTACATCATTACGCACTGCTTCTTATACTCTGCCTCACTCTCTTCATCCATTTCTTTGGGATAAGGTACTTTACCCTCAATGTTGGGTAAATATTTATCTACGCTGAGCCCTGCTCTCTGGTAGAACAACATGTACGCAGAATTGAGATCAATTTGCGACTCTGTTACCTCCTGCAAAGAAAACACAAAATGTATTTAGATAAACCAAACTACCTGTAACCGTCTTTGATTGCGAAAATAAACCAAATCCTTTCAATGACACTCTCATTCAGTTCTAGTATCTGAAAATATACAAAGACAGAGGCAAGATGACATCCAAACACATTACCTTGCAACTACTGTCATTGAAGCATATCCACTTCCCCTGGGGATTCTTGGCATAGCATACATAGTGGCCACCTTCCATTATACCCGTGTGGCACTGCAAGTATGAAGTGTAATTAATAAGAATTTAAACCTGACACAGAAAAGTGGGAATACATAGGTTGAACACATGGCGGAAGGACAGAAGCTAATGTGAAGCAGATGGACAGGGAGGAGCACAGGCAGAGGTGTAAACAAAAGTAGAGATACAGGGTAGTTTAAGTAGTGAAATATTAAAAGATATAAGTACAAATTGAGGGAGAACTTTTCGTTTGATTTTGCCGAGGTTCAATACGGTCACTGTCACATTCACAGCTGGTGTTGAAGTAAGCTATGAGACAGATTACAAGCACAATCAGAACTCTTGTAAAATGTGAACCTTATTGGTGTGAATAGGAGGGTTCTGAACCTTCTGTCATGGTATATGACTTTTGCTCTAGACTGTACACGAGTGGAACTGTGGCTAGGATTAATTAACTTCTTTGGTCTCTGTACATCCAAAAGCACTGACATTCATTTTGCCAAAAACTCTTTACCAATAATTCTCTAGAATATAAAAATTATATTGTCAATCATAACAGTCTAGTCCACAATCATGAATGGTGAATCAACAGATATCCTTTCCTATTTAAATAAGAACAGGGCCAACAACATTTCTAAAACCATAAAAAAAATAAAAAATTAAGGACTTACCGCAATAGCATAGAGGTCGTACTTCAGGTCCAATGGGTCGTGCCCTTCCTCCAGGCGGTGCTGATGGAAGTCTTGGAGGGTTTCCCCATAGAGGACGGACCCATTTCTTATTCGCCGCTTGTTGTTCCCTTCACCACTTTTCAGGGAACCATCATAGGGGGTACTTGGACAGGGGCTAGAAGGGAAAGAAAAACATCATGAACAATCATACCATAACAAGAAAATTAAAAACAGTTTTATATGTGCATAATAGTTATGAATTTACAAAAGCACTATTTCAAAAAAGACTTTATACCAACCATTAATCATTACCTATCCCTACATATATATAAAAATCTAAATAAAAAACATTATGCCTTTAACAACGACCATGAGATCAAAACTAGATGTACAGATAAATTACACATTCACATAGGGCTAAATCAACTTTCTACACTTACACCAGCAAGGCTCCAACCTGAACAAGGATTGCAAAATCAAAACAGACCCGGACTCCAAACCAACCTGGCCAAATTGCTGGGTATGCTGCCATTTATAGAACCATTGAGAGAAGGCTTTCCACTCTTCAGTGTAAGTTCATCATCTGTGCTGCCCTTGAGGTGTTCAATTATCTGGAGAATGAAAGAAAATGGAAATGCATCGCCTACTTAGTGGCATGACAAGGCCAAGGATGAAGACTTTTGCAAAGATATATCATCAAAAACACAAATATGAATGTTCAAAGGCTGAGTAGAATGGGGAAGATAGAGAGAAGTATGAAGGGAAGAAGGGGAGAAATTTTTAAACAATTGATTGACAAATAGAGGAGAAAGAGGAGGAGGAGGAGGAGGAGGAGGAGGAGGAGGAGGAGGAGGAGGAGGAGGAGGAGGAGGAGGAGGAGGAGGAGGAGGAGGAGGAGGAGGAGGAGGAGGAGGAGGAGAAGGAGGAGGAGGAGGAGGAGGAGGAGGAGGAGGTGGAGGAGGAGGAGGAGGAGGAGGAGGATTGGAAAGATGAATGAAAATGATGCACTAAAGCCAAACCCTCCATTTCTCTACCTTGTTCTCTGGCACAATCTCCAGGAAGATATTGTCTCTCTCCTGTAGTGAGGCCAGATACACAGCAGGGTCTACCCCTTCTAGCTCAGCCCTGTGCAAGTGGATCGTCTGTCTTGGCACAGAGGCTAGGTACTCTGTGGGGTCGAAGTCACGCAGAGGGAAGTCCACAATCTTCTGGCTTTTAATCCACTTGTTGCCCACAAACTGGAATCTCTTCAGATGCACAATCTGCATGAAGGAAAATAATACGGGTTTAGTAAGCACATTAGAAAGTAAACAGCAATGTTATTTTCAAAATCAATTGCAATTTTGACAATTAAGATTAATGACAAAGATGTTAAAGTATTCTCTAAGATAGATTTTTTTTAATTAATATAGAAACAGCTGTGGGATCATCAAAGCTGCAATAGCATTACATCAGTGCACTCCATTAATTTTTCAATCTCTCTAAAACAAATTCCTTTTCATTCAAACAACCGATTATGATTTAACTTTTACTTTTGTACTAATTAGTGTTTATCATAACAAAATAAACTTATGGGGTAAGACGTATGTATATGGAAGTGGGGGTTATGGTTAAAATACGGCGTTTCTCAAAACTGGGCTCAAAATCTTCATATACCATCTAGTAGTACTCCAAGCAAATTTTTCAACACAGCATACAATCTTAATGTCTGGTGTGGGTTTAAATGAACAAAAGTCCTAACTCACAGGAGGTGTGGCAGGTTGGGACCTTCTACATGCACAGAGAAAAGGCAAATTTCCACTAAAATCCTGTGTTACCTTAGTCTAGTTGAATGTGTGTTAGTATGGGAAGGTGGAGAGCCACTGGCAACTCGCACATAGCCTCAGTAGCCACTTAGGAAGTTAGTTACATATGAACATTCAGGAGTGAACGCTTATCTCCAAGGTCCTGTATTTCATCCCGATTCAGGTTAAAATGAATCTCTTTGCAATGACTTAGTCACTCTGAGAACCCAAGCAGTGAGGCTTGATATAAACAAAAAAGACATGGGTGCAAAAATAGAATTTACTCATGGGGCTGTCTGAGCGCTTGACTATAGTTATTCCTCTAAATAAAGTCCTTGTAATTCAAATAGTTTTAGGATAGTAACCTCTTTGTATAAAGACCAAAACATGAAAATCACACAAATTGGTCTGAAAATAAGGCAGTAACATAGCTTTTAACTCTTAGATGACTGCAAAAGAAATCTCTTAACGTCATACACTCCGGTGATTTCTGGTGACCGTTCTCCGGTTGGGAACAGGAGTCTGCTACATGTAGCAGAAATTTTCCGCTCAACACGCTCTAGCGTAATGTATTTCAGGAAAAGGGTGTGCCTAATAAGTACATTCATACATCCGCAAATATTGTGTGTATCACAGGTACCTACACCAACACCAAAAATCATTAAAATACAATATTGTGTCAAGGTGCAGCAGTGACTACAGCTGAATCTTACTAGAATTGGTGGTAGTCTCCAAATCTGCAACTTCTTGGCTGCCTGCTGGACTTTCTTGCACTTGTCACAGGAATACTCAAGGGTTTCCTCAGAGCAAAACGCCTCCAGGCAATCCGAGAGTGCAATGGGCTCCACATGTTTGCGGCGCATTTCTTCCACACTCGCATGCTCTAAGACCACCTGTTGGCAAGAAAGTTGTCAAAGAAAGTGTAATCAATTTCCATAAAAAATCTCGCAGGACATTTTCTGCATGACATATTCCATCCATACCTGACTTGCTTACCTTCTCTAACACAGTCTGGTATCGCAAGTGAAGTGCCGTGGGGTCCCAATCAATCGCTAAGAAAGCTGCATTTTGTGGGAAGGTGTTGTCATCACAGGGTAGCTGGCAACCACGGCAAAATCTGTACCATGGACACAGCGCGCATTGTAGGCCTTCACGCTCCACTACTCGTAGCACAAATGGGAATTCATAACCCAAACTATCATCACTGCAATACCAAAAGGAACCACATGTTAACATTGATATACAGAATAAAAGCTCTACAGCTGTAGAAGTAAAGATTCAGCATCAGCATTCAGTATAACAAGAGATGCAGTTTAAGTAATAGAAAAACACAATATGATAACACTCCAATAAATTTCCCTTCAAACATTTCTATTGAAAAACTCCTCACCAGTCATGTGCATGGTTGGGCCCTGCAGCCTCAGATGGTGGCAGAGGAGACACCAGTCTTGAAACTTGGGTCCACACTGCCTGGTAGAGGTCCTGGTGAAGAGACGCTTATGTCAGATTGGGTAAAAATATTCCAATCTTCTCAACTAATGAAGAGTTTCTTTCTTAACCCAATGACGCCGGGTGTACAAAAGGAAAATAAAACTCTACGCTCTGGCAAACAAAGGCGGCGCGCCGACTTTGAGCGCCGGAGTACAGGGAGTCAGCCCGAATCACTGGCTCGCCGCGCTTTGGCGCGCCGCTGGCTGGTTTGGCTGCACGCCACCTTTCGAGCGATTTGTTTACACGCGTATCGCCGTCACCCGGCGGCAAGGGGTTAAAATCAACTCATATTTCCTTCTCACATGTAAACACCCTAATTTTCACAGCAAACATCAAAATTATATCTAATGAAGTGTCTCTACTAACTTGGTGTGTACTTGAAGCACTGCACGGTACAACTAGAGGTAGTCCAAATAAACTTGGCCTTGTCTTTTGTGATGACAGGAAGTAGACCTCTTGTCGCATCTGTATAATGAAAATAATTTTATCAGTCTTGTTTGGGTTACATCATCGATTTTCAGACTCATTGGGTATCCTTCTCTTGTTTCCTCTAATTCCACTTTCAACATATCGAACAATCTTCATCAAACTTTCCACTAACATGAAAATCACACTGAACTACTCAATCTTTCTCTGTAAAGAGGGATTCTTAAAAACAATACCCAAAATAAAGTGACTAAAATAATATCATAATTTACAAATCTGGCTCTATGAAAAAGAAAAAGAAAAAACACATCAAATCAGTTCCCTTACCATTTTTCTATGAAAGGCAGTAATAAATCCTTTGTGAGTATTATAGAGGTCGTTGTCATGCTGAATGGATGAGCATGTGGAAGAGGCGGGCCCTGATGAGGTGGACGATAAGCTACTGTTACTGTCCTTGCGCTGGATGGCATTGCTTGCAGCAGTTTCCTGCAATGTGCAAGTTAGATGGTGAGCATAACTATACTGATTTTTTATAGTAAAAAAATATATATCATAACTCTTTATATGTAATTAAGTTTTTCTCATTTCAAACTAATTTGAAAATATAAGCATCTTTCTTTATGACCTAATATATTGTTGAGCACAGTAAGAATAAAGAGCTCTTCATAAATACAAACATCTTACCATGAAAAATGAGTGATTTATATTCATGCAATATGTTTACAGGGACAAAACTGGATTCACAGCCTTACATGACACTGTGAATGAATTTAATATATTTGACCCTTACTACTAATACAAGCCAAGACAACTCACCTGCTCAGGCAGAGGGTGACTAGATTGCAGACTCAACTTGCTGCTATTGATCTCCAGACTACTAGGACTTGAGATGTAACTCTCAGTGGTTCCATTGCTGTGGGAGGGACTGCTGATGCCTTCTGCAATTGAAAAGAAGATATTAATCTTATTCAATGCCATTCCAATTACTACCTTATCTCATTATGTGCCAAGTGCCTCTGTAGTCTAATCTGTTTCAGGTTTTGCTATTATCCTACACACAAGACATGCAGATTTTCATTATATCAACCAAGAGTTTACATTTAGTACAATCTTCTTCATTATTCACCAAAGTTCTTTACTTTAAGTTGAAAAAAACAAAATACTACTTTAATGTGAAAATAGCAAAAAAAGCACACTATACTATCTCATCTTCTACTTCTAACACCTCCCTACAGAACATCAACATAGCAAATTGGGCTGCAATAAACTTACCTCTTAAGCAGGGAGAGCTATGGTGGGTAGATCGTTGTATATGAGTAAATACATGTCGGTCTCTTGCACTCCGTGTGGCTGACCTGACTTCACTGGCATGGGAGGAGGTGGGGGATGGCAATTCATAACAAAAGAGTGCACTTCCTGAGACTGCTCGCACCCGACCCTCATCCATAGGAATAGACTGAGAGAGAGATCAAACACAATTAATCAATCCCGTCTTTCAAATATCCTATTACATATGTATAAGTTTAAATCTAATTTATAACCAACTGATACCTATTTCCTTTTGCCTTTATATTAAGGTAGAAACAAAAATACTAGTATATGATTCCTTACTTTTACAAACCACTTTTATCCATTTACTTTGACTGAACTTGAGTGGTACCATCAAAAACTTGACATACACCAAAAGAATTTTAAACAAGAGTGCAAAAATACTCTTTATATTTCTCAGATGATACAATACATTCATTTCTTTTCAGCTGAATTTACCCAGTTACTTTTCAGAGCTCCCACAACAGTGACATGTAATGGCTGTACCTTGATCTGACCATTTGCCAGTTCACTGAGCATCATCTGGTGTGGAGGTATACTGGTCAGAAGGTGGAGCTGCTGCTTGACGTCATAGTAGCGACTGTCACTGTTGAGCCGGAGCCCATACTTCACAGGCACACTACCATCAAGTTTGATAACTGTGGATACCAAGAACTCATTAGAAAAGAATTCCGACTCCCAAACTATATCAGTTTTAAGTAAAAATACATACAAACTTGCTGAAAAAAAATTAAAAAATATAAAAAATTTTAAAAAATAAATAAATAAATAAAAAATAAAATTCAAATCACATGAAATTAGAAGGAAATAACTACACGTAACTCTAGGACTCACCTATCACTTCCAAATAAACGTAGCTCTCCATAGGTAGTTGTAGGGTGAGATATGTAAAGGGATCAAAACGCACACTTTCGTTGTTGCACACACGACACGTGACCTTACTTTTTAACTGGCCATGGAAGAGATCCACAATTATAGACTTGTTTCGCAAAATGTGATTCTCCCATGCCTGAAAAGAGAGAGAATATTTTGCAAATTAAAATTATCAAGTACTTTTATCTAACCTTTTACAGTACTGAAAATGTGTTCTTCTAAAATCTCACAATTCACTGAATAGCAAAGTTTAAACTGGTTATTCAGGACAATGCATTTATCCTGTTATTACTAACATGTTAGCTAGCCGATTATTTTACTGAGCAAGCCTTAATATGATTTCCAATATTATGACACAGACTTTTGAAAGAAAAGAGAATAAAACACAAAAAATCAATGGACAAAACAATGAAAAATGGTGGATCCTAAGTTGTGAGGGTCTGAATCCTTATCAGGAGGATAACCATAACAAAAATGAAGACTCAATTATAAATTCATTTACAATCAAAGAGCAGTATACAGAATGACTACCAAAAGAGTATGTCAGTGCTAAAACTGATCTCCATATGGATTGACAGCTATTCATTCTTTAAAGTTTAATATTATATACACAGCTATATAAAACTTTAAAATGCAAGTTTGCTCCATGATATATTCTCTTCTTCTATCATAAATAAAACTGTAAATTCTGAGGCAAAAACTCACTCCAATCTTGGTCTCACCAGCTCCCAGTTTCAACATACCAATTACATTCAAGTTGTTCCCAAAAAGCTTCAGAACCGTGACCAAAAAAGTGTAAAAAATATACAACCATCTAGTCGCATACTGACCTCCTGAGCAACAAGAGTATCAGGACGACCCTCAGAATCCTTGAGCTCAATGTACGGCTTGTTATGAACCCTGTTGAGGTCCTCGTGCAAGCCATCCAGTAAGAAGGCAAGCAGCTCCTGAGAATCATGCTGCTGGAACCCGGTGAAGTTGCCACTGTACTTCCCTATTGTCCACTGTAATAGAAGAATCAATACGTGATCATCTGCTTTACTTTCAAAGCTGCAAAAGAAGAAGAAATTTACAAAGTCAGGCAATTTAACAGTTAGCAAAAAAATGTAAAGTAATAATAATAATTATAATAATAATAAATAAATAAATAAATATATAAATAAAACATACAAATAAACAATCAACTATAAACAAACCCTGAGCTTGAGTGGTGCCACAGTCTTCACTCCACCTCCCCATATCTCCTGCATGAGACTGCCATACTGCCGAGCCATGTGCCCCTTCATGCCACATGGGTTCCCTGGGTTGAGCTCATACAGGTGCATGTTCTTGATGAAATAGGTGGTGAGAGGGTATGTGTTGGAGCAACACTGCAAGGCTGCATTCAGGAAACAAGTGTTGCCAAGGTTGTTCAGCCCTGTAACTCCTTTCTCATTGCCCCCTGAGAGAAAGGGGATGGAAACCAAAGATAAGTAACATTTCACTCTATTATCTCCTGTAACAGAAAGACACATCCACTAAAGGTTGAAAAAAAAGAGTATTCAATATACATCTGTGAAAAACGTCACATGGCTACCTTGTCTGGACTGAGTTCGCATCATCTTCGTGGATGTTATCTGGCTCATTTCCTCGGGCCAAGTCAGGTCCTTGTTGCGAACCTCAATCAGCACTTGCGACAAATCCCCGACGCCAACTTCCTCGAGGGTGATGTCCTCCTCCTCCAGCAAGATCATTCCTGCAGGCTATTTGGGAACGAACGAGTAAAACACTGCTTTATTTTCTGTTTTTTTTTTTTTTTTTTTTTTTTTTTTTTTTTTTTTTTTTTTTTCTTCTTTTTCTTAATCAGTAATTGATTATATTCTTACTCTGCATTTTCTTTTTCTTTTTTCCTTTTTTTATCAATAAGTAGTTTTGGCATTCATAGGGAGAATGAGAAGGCAAAGAGAGAATAGTTATAAAATAGGTGGAGAAAAAAAATAGAGGGAGGGAGGGAAGGAAAGAGAGGGAGGGAAGGAAAGAGAGGGAGGGAGGGAGAGAAAATGATGGACAAGGAAGAGAGAAAGAGAGAAAGAGAGGCAGAGAGGAAAGGGAAAAGGAAGGAAGAGGGAGAGAGGGGGAGTGGGGAAGCAGGAGGAAGAAGGAGAAAGGAAAGAAGAGAAGGTGAACAGGGCAAGGAGGGAGGGAAGGAGGGAGAGGAAGAAGGGAGAGGAGGGAGGGAAGGAGGGAGAGGAGGGAGGGAAGGAGGGAGAGGGAAGGAGGGAGAGGGAAGGAGGGAGAGGGAAGGAGGGAGAGGGAGGGAGATAAGGTGGGAAAGGAAGGAGGGAAAGGAAGGAAGGGAGGAGGAAAAGGAGGAAGAGAAGAGAGAGAGGAAAGGGAGGGAGAGAGGGAAAGGAGGAGAGGGAGGGAAATATGGAAAAGGAGGGAAAGAGGAAATAGGCAAAACAAGAGGGTAAGTGGGGTGAATCATGAAAGGAAGGAAAGATAAACCCCTTTTTTTCCAAACTTCAATTAATGTTTTACCCTGTAATAGTAATCAGTAATGCTTAAACAACTGAAAATGTGAAAGTATTTATCTTTTATTACAGGGGTTCTTAACCTATGGTTCATGGACCCCAAGGTTTCAGGAGGTCCATGAGGATCAATTAAATATTAACATTACTCTTTGTATAAAAAGGAGTGTTTTCTTTTTTTTTTTTTTTTTTTACTTTAACCCCTTGCCGCCGGGTGACGCCGATCGGCGTGTAAACAAAGAGCTCGAAAGCTGGCGTGCAGCCAAACGAGCCGGCGGCGCGCCAAAGCGCGGCGAGCCAGTGATTCGGGCTGATGTCCCCTACTCACGCGCTCAAAGTCAGCGTGCCGCCTTTGTTTGTTTAAGCGTAGAGTTTTTTTTTTCTTTTGTACACCCGGCGCCATTGGGTTAAAAGTTTAACAAAACTTTGTATATCTCCTATATTCATGAGACAATCATATCCCAATAAATATAGTATATAATACATATCACATGCAAGTTGCGTTATGTGAGAAATTCTGGGGAAAGGGGTCCATAGTATTCATCAGATTCTTAAAGGGGTCCATGACACTGAAAACATTTAGAACCGCTGTCTTACTGGCACCATAAGTCGTTGGATATGCCCAGTGGCTGGATGCACATGTCAAAATAGGGGACTCATCCACAAGGGGTTAAGAAAGAGAGAGAGAATATTTGTACATTCAGGGAAGCTCAAAGTTCCCGTATACTTTGTAACGTATCACAAGAAGAAATTCAGTAATGTAATCATATCATGTATCTTTGACCAAAGATTTGTTTTCTTTTTCTTTTTTACAATGTGCTATAATCATCAGCATAAAAAAACTGCATCCCATGTATGTTCATAAAAGTACACAATTATCATATCACCAGCACACAATTAGCATCTACAGAAGTCACATTTTCTACTAGTATGAATACCATATGTAAGTGATTATATGCCTAACCCTACATCCCAAAGCACATGCATCCAGAGACTGGCAGGGTTCTCACCTCATCACGAACACACCAAAGTCTCATATCCTCAATGCGCAATCTCAACTTTGTGGCAAGGTAATCATAGACCTGCCGTAAAGTTGCCAAGCGACTAAATGCTGCAAGGTAGGCCAGGTATCGTTTGGGGGAAGAGGTTGTGGAGCTGGGCAGGGAAGTCACATAGTATGGGGCTGAATCTGGGGAGGGGAAGGTGGATGTGTTTAGTGGCAGAGCCTAAATATGTCATTATTTGGGGTTAATGATATTTCCCATATCTGTGAACTAAATATATATCACTTCTATTTTTTTTATTTCATGCTTCTATTGTCAATACTAATATCAACTGCAATGCCCTCACGTCAGACCATTATTTTCTCGAGAACGCCAGAACAAGGACACAATACTCAGACGGCTACTCACTCAGAGCTGCAGCGCCATATCCACCAACAACTCCCACCCACGAATTGTTGGGCGTTCTGGTCTGCTGCTGGACGTGGCGGAATAGTCTCAGAGTCACTGGGTACAACTCTAGCTCCACTTCTCCACTGGATCGTCCGTGGATGACCTGAGATGTGCAAACCAAGTCCATATCTGTGAACTAAATATATTCACTTCTATTTTTTTTATTTCATGCTTCTATTGTCAATACTAATATCAACTGCAATGCCCTCACGTCAGAACCATTATTTTCTCGAAGAACGCCAGACTCTAGCTACCTTTCCCAAAGTCATTTTATTTTTAGCATGCCTTCAATTTGACATCTACTTATCCTTTAAATGAAAAAAAAAAAAAAATCATTAAAACAATCTTTTCTCCCAACAAAAGAAAAAAAACACATTATTACCTGTCTGGGCAGAGCAGGGGACCCTCCATACCACTGTTGGAGAGCTTTCCATAAAGAATCTGGAACAAGGACAAAGTCTCGGCCTTGAACCAATGGCACATTTCGCTTCAAACGCCCACCTTCACCGGTTAGCAGCATTACCTGTGGAACAAATCAATTACGGTTTAAATAACGAGCCTAAGATATGTTGAAATCATAAAAAAAAAGAAGGAAAATAATTAATAAAACACCTGACAAATATGCTTCACATTACACCCCAAGCAACACTTTTTTCTAGAGCCTTTTCCACATCAACTCACTTTGGATGTATTAGGTTCGACTAGAGGAGAGTTATCTATTGCAGGTGGGCGAGATGGAACCAACAGCGGCCCTGGACTGGTGGCAGCGCGACGCGTTAAACGAGGGGAGTGACTTGGACTTGAGGTACTGCTGCATCTGCAAGGAAGATCAACATGCAAGTTGACCCAATGCACAATGATAAACCAGACCTGAAGATGAAATTTACTTTCCTTTCAATATTGTCCTTTGAATTTTCTAATAAACTTTGTTTGTTTATTAAGGATATGTGTCATTTCACAAAATAGACATTATATATATATATATGTATGTATATATATATATATATGTATGTATATATATATATATATATATATATATATATATATATATATATATATATATGTATATATATGTATGTATATATATATATATATATATATATATATATATATATATATATATATATATATATATATATATATACACACACACACACACACACACACACACACACACACACACACACACACACACACACATATATATATATATATATATATATATATATATATATATATATATATGTATGTATGTATGTATGTGTGCGTGTGTGTGTATACATTTATTTACATATATATACATATACATATATATACATTTATATATGCATATACATATATATAAACAAATATATATATACAAATACACACATATCTATATTTACAGATAAACATACATACATATACATATATATACACATTAGATACTTATATATACATTATATATACATTATATATATACATTATATATATACATTATATATATACATTATATATATACATTATATATATACATTATATATATACATTATATATATACATTATATATATACATTATATATATACATTATATATATACATTATATATATACATATATATACATATACTATATATATACATATACTATATATATATATACATATATATACACATATATATATATATATATACAAAGAGAGAGAGAGAGAGAGAGAGAGAGAGAGAGAGAGAGAGAGAGAGAGAGAGAGAGAGAGAGAGAGAGAGAGAGAGAGAGAGAGAGAGAGAGAGAGATGAATAAACATACATACATATGTACATATACATATAGATACATGCATATACATATATATACATATACATATATATACATATACATATATGTATATATACATATATGTATATATACATATATGTATATATACATATATGTATATATGCATATATGTATATGCATATATACATGTACAATATATATGTATATATGTATATATATATATATATATATATATATATATATATATATATATATATATATATATATATATATATATATATATATATATATATATGTGTGTGTGTGTTTATATACTTATAGATATATATATAGAGAGAGAGATATAGAGATATAGAGATATAGAGATATAGAGATATAGATATATATAGATATATATAGATAGATAGAGAGACCGACAGATAGAGAGAGAGAGAGAGAGAGAGAGAGAGAGAGAGAGAGAGAGAGAGAGAGAGAGAGAGAGAGAGAGAGAGAGAGAGAGAGAGAGAGAGAGAGAGAGAGATGAATAAACATATATACATATGTACATATACATATAGATACATGCATATACATATATATACATATACATATATATACATATACATATATATACATATACATATATGTATATATACATATATGTATATATACATATATGTATATATGCATATATGTATATGTATATATACATGTACAATATATATGTGCATATATTTCTTAAGTATATATATATACATTCATACGTATATATACATATATATATATATATATATATATATATATATATATATATATATATATATGTGTGTGTGTGTGTGTTTATATACTTATAGATATATATATAGAGAGAGAGATAGAGAGATATAGAGATATAGATATATAGATATATATATATATATATATATATATATATATATATATATATATATATATATATATATAGATAGAGAGACCGACAGATAGAGAGAGAGAGAGAGAGAGAGAGAGAGAGAGAGAGAGAGAGAGAGAGAGAGAGAGAGAGAGACAGAGAGAGAGAGAGAGATAGATATTATACATAAATAAATATATATATATGAATATGTAATACATATGCAGACACACATATAAAGCATAAATAAACATTTACGTAGAATTATAATAAATTTTATTCCAAAAAAAGTATATTTTTCTCCATGTCTGACACCGAGTAAAACACACCAGCCTCATACACGCAAGAACTCTACCTGCTCGTCTCGTGACCGTAGACCGCTAGATTGCCCGAGCTAAAATTCTTTCTGGGACTCGACGTGGCCGGGGCGTGGCGCTGCAGAGATCCTTGCCGCGACCCGGGCTGCTCCGTCCGATTGAGCGACCCCTCACTATCTAGGCTGGTCAAGGAGACAGAGTCAGCACCCCCTAAGCTGGCTATGCTGGTTACGAGCACGCTACTGAAAATGGAATTCCCAGTTAGCCCCGAGGCAACCTGCTTAGACCGTCTGGAACCCGTAGATCTCTCAGATGCTTGTGACTAAGGTTCCCTTTTGCCTGCACAAAAACTGCATACTATAATAAAAAGACTTATCACTATGGATACTAGTGTGTGTGTGTGTATGTACAAATGTATGTGTGTGTGTGTGTGTGTGTGTGTGTGTGTGTGTGTGTGTGTGTGTGTGTGTGTGTGTGTGTGTGTGTGTGTGTGTGTGTGTGTGTGTGTGTGCGTGCGTGTGCGTGTGCGTGTACGTGTACGTGTGCGTGTGCTTGTGCGTGTGCGTGTGCGTGTGCGTGTGCGTGTGTGTTTGCGTGTGCGTGTGCGTGTGCGTGTGCGTGTGCGTGTGCGTGTGCGTGTGCGTGTGTGTTTGCGTGTGCGTGTGCGTGTGCGTGTGCGTGTGCGTGTGCGTGTGTGTACATATTTATATATGAATATGTGTATGTATGGATGTGTATGTATAGATGTGTGTGTGTGTGTGTGTGTGTGTGTGTGTGTGTGTGTGTGTGTGTGTGTGTGTGTGTGTGTGTGTGTGTGTGTGTGTGTGTGTGCACACACGTGTGTGCATGTGTGTGCTCAAAAACTGGTTTAATTAAAGCAAATCCACCAAATTGCGTACTTGCAAATAAAATGTCCACATCTCAAAGTGCTGCTTGGAATGCCAAATTTCCTCCCTTGTTTGAGCAACAAACTGGTCAGTAACTTTTCTCTGCCTCCAGTCGATGTGTCTCTTTAACCATGCACAAACTCTCGGCCGAAATGCAATGTTAGTTTGCTACTGATAATGATGTTGGCACAAGCAGCAGGATAAACGTTAGTAAGAGGCCACAGTGCATTATACCATCGCTCACTCCTCTGCAGACAAAGAATATTGGACACATGCAATGACTGACATATACATGCATTACAATAAAAAACAAAATAATTGAAGTAAACCGTCTTTCTGATCATGAGGAGGAGGAGAAGAGGCTCAATCTGTTTGACTCAATAGTTCCACTAATTATATTTCTCTTCGAGTTTACAGAAAAGTTTTGTCATTAGCAGCAAATAATCCAGGAGACAGTAACTCTACACTTTAGAGATATACATACGTAGGTTCTTTAAGAGACTTGAAAACAATGTGAATAGGATTTGGTAATTCAGTGTAAAAGGAAAGTGTTACGGAGTGTTTACTAAGGTGACTTACAATTTGGGCAAGTACTTACAAAAAAGTAAATTGTTGCAAAAACTAAAGGAAAAGGGGTTTTTTCAAAAGATAATTTCTAAGGGAGAAGTGCAAAGAAATTACAAAGCAAACAAGATCATGAGTACTACTTATCGCAATGTGATTCAAAACACTGATATATGCATCTGCTGTTTACAATCTTAATGCTTCTAAGAAGACCTTTTTTGGTAAGTATATATGGAGTAAGGAATAAATCTATTTTATACATACATAAAATTCTTTGTAAAGACAGATTGTGAAGTGATAATATGATTTCTTTCACTTTTTTTCTTTTTTTCTTTCTTTATTTTGAGAAGGGGGTGGTTGAGAAATGACATGACAAGAAGTGGGTACTCACTTGCTTGCATCAGAGGCCACAGTTCCTTCGGAATGGGCCGACTTCTTCTGCAATTTGGTCCGCTTGAGAGATCCACACTGGGAGTTAGCTGGGGAACTACTGTGAGAGGAGGGACTCAAGGAACTGCTGTCTGATCCAGCTGAATGCTGAACGGAAGAAAAATAAAGACTAATCGGTAATAATGAAATAAGAAATTAAATTCTTTTGATACCTATGATAAATTTGATAAATGACATGTACTCTTTGAGATAAGATAATTATCAGTCATGATTAAATGAACTGAACTACAATCATCTCAACTATTAATCAAATCCTACTGCTATGAACACACACAAAAAACATGAAATTCAGAGGGACTCCTTTCATGAACATACCTGGTAATTCACATATTCTAGCCACAGATTCCACCATTCCATGTTGATGATATACCAGAACTGGCCAATAGTAAGAGACTTGCACTCGGCTCTGCGTAGCCAACCTAGGACTATCTCTCCCTCTTCCCCGGGACTACTTGGCTTGAGCCCCAGGACAATATGGCACACCTTGCAAATGAAACGACTGGTTAAATCATATCCTTCCAAAAGTACATAAAGGGAAAAAAAAAGTAAAACTAATCCTTCCAAAACCCTTAAATATATTTCAATCAAACGGTAAGTTAATAAACAAACAGACTTTTGCCAACATAGCATCCTCCGACTTCAGATGCCAGCCAATTCTAACTGAAGATACCAAGGGATAACACACCTGGAATATGATATCAAGCAGGGCTGAGGAGAGCGCATTGTGCAGGGTCCACATGAGGTACTCCTCCTGGGTGACGAAGCCCGAGTTGGTCGGATCGTGGTTCTCCAGCAGCTCCTTCACAAGTTTCTGGACGGCCTCTGGTGAAACCCCTAAACATACATCATCTGCAGTTCAAACAGACACCCTGCCATTCAAATGTTTCTCTGATGATTATGCATTAAAAGCATCAATCATCTTCAAACATTTTTGGATAATCACTACAGTCTTCAAACTTTCTAAGTTCATATACTTATGGCAAGCATGTTTAATATCTAAGTGAGCAGAAATACAAATACACATATACTAAGTCTACCACAGATAAACTATCATACCAGGAATATGTTTCTTACAGAACAAGTACCCTTTCATGTACTATGCTGTATTCGTCCACTATTTAAAAAGTACAGGATTTCTAAAATATTGCAACTACATTAAAAATCATAAAGGGATCTGGCTTGGTTTATTTGCTGATATTAAATAACACATTTAGAAAAATTAATCAAATTAAATTTACCATACTACTAAATAAAAACTATGCCATTAACACTAATCCAGTACCTGTAGTATTATCAGGTCCACATTTGAAATAAAATCTGATTTACAGAACCTACAACAGTGTAGCACATTTTACCGTTATCAGCATCCTGTTCCTCATCCCTCAGAAGAAGAAGAGCCTGAACCATGGCCACTAGTTCTTCCTTGGAGAGCTTTCCATCACGGTCCCGATCAAAGATTTTAAAGCAAAACTTTTGTCTTTCTGTTTGGGGTCCACGGCAAGCAGCAGATATTCCACATGCCATTTCCTGTGTAACATTCATGACTGTTTAACCTGAAGCTCTTTTAATAAGCAATTGAAAACATATTTTCCATGTTCTTTTTCAAATACGTGACTGAAGTTCCAAAATGGAAAAATTTCACATTTCAAAAAAATAGAGTGAAGAAAATTACAAAAGCAAAAATTTCAATCAAATCACATCTATACAGGAAGGAAAAGATGTCTCAAAATGTATCACGCTCAAATCTAACAAACCTTAAAGTCAATATGGTTATCTCTGTTTTCATCAAAAGCATTGAAGACTCCTTTGGCAAGCATGGGAGGTAGTGGAGGTGATATGAGCGGCACAAGTGTGTCTGGGTCGAGCTTTCCCGTTGGTGAGGAGCCTTTGAGGTTCCAATACCATTTCTCCAATTCTAGAATGTCCTTCTCCTCCACTGCAATTGCCAGATTTAAAAGCTTAAGTTTCTAACATTGATAAAATCCAAGTACACCTGCACAATGTAATTTTCAGACAAGATGGAGTGGCAAATATAAGCAAAATATACCAATCTATATTTTTTTCTTGTATGCAAATCTAACACACAAAGCTACTCACAGTGTGTTACTCCCGCCAGTGTCTGATAGAAGGTTGGCGTCTCCAAGTCATTGGAGAGTGACACATGGCACGGTTCAGCTAGGAGCCAACGTGTGACAGTTGTAGCATCAGGATGGGATATTAGCCAGTCTCTAAATTCGTCATAACTAACACGTTCACTCTGGAAAGATATATAATTGATTACTGTTCTATCACTAACTACTGGGCGTATGGAAAATGTCAACAGTTTCATACATAAGGGGATGGGAGTGAAGTGACCAGTAAAGAAAAGAAAAATAGTTACTCTAACAATTCCAATGGAGTAATACACAACCTATATTACTCATACAGAGAGTTAAAATTATGCATATGTCATAAAAATGTGAATAAACAAAATACATAAATAAGCAAATACATACAATGCAAATAAATAACAAATAAATAATTTCTTACTTGGCCAAAGCATTTATGGAGAATCTCTGGGTTGTAGCCTCCTTCTGTAGCCTGCAGCTGGCGTAGCATCTCACTTCGCAAAACATGGCTGCCGGCTTCATTTGCATATACACCAAATATAACTGCAATGGTATAAGAGAAGACATAAGTAATTCACTAATGACATGAGAATGAGAACCCTAATATTCCAAACAAATCTGGACACAACATTTTAGGAGTTACTATGCAAATCCATCTTCACTCCTAAATATGGACGATTTCGACTTGGAAAGTGATTAAGCACAAAATGGTAAAAAATGCAACTCATCCCTAATATTTTTACTATATGAAATCAAACCTTTTTAGGGTGATCCATTTTCTTATCCTTTCTTCCTATTCTCTCTTTTTCTTTTTTTTTAATTTCTTTATAGAAAATACCCTATTCATAATTTCAGTGACTGATCAGTGCCTGCCAAAAAGCTTGAAAGCAAAATTTAAAAAAAAAAAAAAAAAAAAAAAAACTATAAAATTGGCCTACAACTCCCAAATTGCCTATCACTCTAAGAATCCCCAATGCAATCACAGCACTAAAAAGACACAAACATTCTCAAACGCAATAAAAAAAAACAACAAAGCAACGATAACTGCAGCACAAACACTCGACCACTCACACTTTATCTTCTCCTCTCTATTGCCTCGAGTCAGTAGCACCAAGCTGCACAGGAGGTCCTTGAAGACAATCCCTTTCGCAGATCCTCCGCATGCCACAAATATCAGCTGTAAAGAAGACAGGTACAGTGAGAACAAACTGTCAATTTTTTACCAATCCGTTCACTTTATAACCCAAATCATTCTTTCAACATGGACCGTGCACATTTACAGAACCTATGGCTGTGTGTGTGTGTGTGTGTGTGTATGTGTGTGTGTGTGTGTGTGTGTGTGTGTGTGTGTGTGTGTGTGTGTGTGTGTGTGTGTGTGTGTGTGTGTGTGTGTGTGTGTGTGTGTGTGAGTGTGTGTGTGTGTGTGAGTGTGTGCGTGCTTCTGTGCGTGTGTGTGTGTGTGTGTGTGTGCGCGCGTGTGGGGGTGTGCGCGTGTGTGTACATGTGTGTGTGTGTGTGTGTACGTGTGTACATGTGTACGTGTGTATGAATGTATACGTGTGTATGAATGTATACATGTATATATGTATATATGTATACATGGATATGTGATTATATCTATATGTATATATGTATATATATGTATATGTATATATATATATATGTATATGTATATATATATATATGTATGTATACATACATATATATACATATATGTACATAGATTCATATATATATACATATATACAAATATACATATTTATATACACTTACATACATATATATACATACATATACATATATACACATACATACATACATACATACATACATACATATACAAACAAATACATATATAAAAATGAATTAATTAATATTGTCAAAGTTCACATACTTTAGATGAGATTATACATGCATGCATCTGTTGCATATAGATGTTACATTTGCATTTATTGCATAAACATTGGTGTTGCAGGCTCATAAGTGTTGTATATTCATATCTTCTATATACATACACTTACTGCACATGACTGTGTACTTTGTATTTGGACATGTGTTGTTTGTGCACTTATGCATTGTATGTTTACATGTGTGTTGTATGTGCACTTGTATATTGAATGTTTAAGTTTATGTTGTATGTTCACATGTGTATTGTATGTTCTTATGTGTGTTGTATGTGCCATGTGTGTTGTATATGTTGTATGTGCACACGAGTGTTGTATGTGCATATAAGTTGCATGTGTTTTTTGTGTCTATCTGTGCCTGTTGCAAATTGTTGCATGTGTGCACATGCATGCAGTCATAATCTGTAAGTCTGCAACCAATTCTATTTATCCAATTGAGCAAATTATTGAATGAGAACAGACCCTTAAAACCACAAATCCCACACTGTACAGTATTGGTAAGTTCCTTGAAGCCTGCTCAGTTCTGTTGCCAGTACTCTTACAAGTGCCACAAAGCTACACCTTGTAAAAATGTCGATATAAACAAATATCCTTCTTATGTTTATTTATTGACTTCCTGTTATTTCTTTTTTCATCATTTCATCTACACCAAGTTTAAATGCCATCAGACAACTACATGCATTACAATAGAGAACATGAAGAACAATAATAAGGATAATGTAATTAACTTTATGACTATGGGCACTTGCAGTTGGAGAAGTCTTCAGGCTTTCCCTATCAGCATTTCCTGTGGACTACTGAAACCTTACAATAATAGACACACCCTTTTCAACAGGTCAGCTTCAATATATAACACTTCTGACCTAAAACTCTTTACATATCAGGTGAGCAAAACCATTAACGAAAATCTTTTCAAAAATTTGTAAAAAGCTGGCTAGGATTTGTTTTTAATCTTGCACGGGCTAAAAGGACTCAAATCGGGAATGGCACTGACACCATCACCGACGTAAACAAAAGCCTTGCAATCAAAGGAGGGCCGAGTCAGCCCTGTTCCGGGATGGCACTCACCTCTGCTAGCTGTAGAGGCACCCCCTCCCCCAGGACCTCGCGGATGAATGCCTGCTTGGTGATGGACCCATTGAGGGTGGCCGTGCGCTTGTAGGCATCCTTCAAGCGGGTCAGCTCAGCATCACTTA